TGTGTGCGTGTGTGCGTGTGTGCGTGTGCGTGTGCGTGTGCGTATGTGCGTATGTGCGTTCGTGCATGTGTGTGTGTGTGTGTGCGTGTGTGCGTATGTGCGTTCGTGTGTGTATGTGTGTGTGTGTGTGTATGTGCATATGTGCGTATGTGCGTTCGTGCGCGCGTGCGTGCGTGCGTGTGTGTGTGTGTGTGCGTGTGTGTGCGTGTGTGTGTGTGTGTGTGTGTGTGTATGTGTGTTCCCGCCGGGAGACTCAGTTTGCCCCCGCCTCCTGCGCCCCCGCAGCGCGAGGTTCGCGAGCTGTCCGACAGTGGCCCAGCCCCGTCCGAGCGCGGGCCCGGCGCGTCGCCCCTCGACTCCAACGGGGGTGAGCGCGCGCGGCTGACTGGAACCGCGAGCGGGGCCCCGCGCGCGGCCTCTCGTCAGCGCGCCAGCAGGTCCCCCAACCCGCCTCCAGCGCCGCTGGACAGCCCCACTCTCCAGAACAGCGATGTGGCACCGCCCAGCCCGCGCGGGCCCCCGCAGCGGCCTGCGGGCGGGCCTCGAGGGCCCAGCCTTGAGCGCGGGCCAGAACTACACGCCGAGTACTCCGACGGGGGCGCTCCCGGGGGGGGGGGGGGGGCGAAGACGAACCTGTGCGTGAGACCCTCCGTGCCTCTGAACGACGCAGCCCCGGGGCTCCTGGGAGTGGCCGTGGGAGCGGAGCGGCCGATCGCGCCCCGCCCTGGCGCCGCGCTGGCCCCCCCCCCCGGGCGCGCGCCAATTCTGCCGCGCGACTGCGCGCGCCACTGGGGCCCCAGTGACAGACTGCACCTCGAACCGCGCCAGTCAATTTTCCTGGCGCCTGGCTGGAACTACCTTACCCGGCGCCAGGAAAAAGCTGGCAGGAAGTGGTCAATCGCCTCAAGGAATAATGTGGCCCCATGTTAGCCATTGGCTGCAATGCCATATGCGACCGCAGAGTGGGACATGCGGGGTCCACCAGAGACCCCGGCCGCCTTTCCCCGGACTTTTGCTGAGAGTTCGTTTCTCAGCTCATCCAGTTTAATTTCGACGTTCGCGCTCTCTGTCGCAGCAGGCACATCCACGTCGACTGGGGCGCCTCATGGGGGCAAGGGGTGGAGAGGAGGGGGTTCAGCGCCCAAGGCGCCACAGGCAACGGAAAGGTCCCCTCTGCAGGGCAAGGGCAAGCGGCCTGCTGACTCCTCCTGGCCCAGCAACGACCCCACGCGGCAGCGCTGGTCGGGGTCCTCCCGTCGCTATTGGTAGCGTGCCTGCCTGCTGCCCTACAGGCTGCAGCCATCTGCCACTCCGCGCATCAGCTCTGAGCGGCCCCGCGCGCGCCCCCCGCAGCCCCCCGCCTGGGCGGCGGCCTCACTCGCGAGGGTTTCGCTCATTCTCTGTTGCGCCCGTGCACCTGCTCGGTGCTACCCCCTGCCGGGTTGGGCTGTTCTCCTGAGTCCATCGGGTTCGTTTGCGTTTGCCTTGCCTTCCGCCCGCGCGCCCTTGCCGCGGGCGCCCTCAGGACGCAGCTCGCGCGACTCCGTGCCTTCCTCCGCCCCCCCCGTCGTTTGGCGGCCCCCTGTAGGTCGTCTGCTCCACTGCTGCACTGCTGGTGCGCCTGTTCGGTGCCTTTCTCGTTGCCTCTCTCACTGCGCCCGTCCGTGCTGCCCCCCGCGCGCACTCGGCCCTTCCGGGTGGCGCTTCTGCTGTCGCTTTTGGCGTATGCCCCCATTCGTGGTCGGTCCCACTTCCACCGCGCCACAGCCCTCTTGTGGTCGCTGGTCCTCCAGCCCCAATGGACGCTTCGCGCAGCTTTGCTCGCGCCTGTCCTTCCCGCCGTTGACCGCTGCGTTTGCCTTCTGGCGAGCTGGTCTTGCCGCTCGCCTTCGGCTCCCGCGCGCCGTCTCGCTGCTAGTCCCGCAGTGGCAGCCGCCTCGGCGCCCCCCCCTGCCTGGATGGAGGCCCCTGCCCCGCCGGTGCACCCCCTGCCCCGGCAGGACGGATAGCTGGCTTTCTGATGGGTTTTTCGACTACACGTAAGAGTGACCCCTCGCCGGAGTGACCTTTGGTGCGCGACCATTGGGGCCCCCCGATCGTCGCGTGCGGTGCGACAGTAGCGTCTTGCTCGCTTGTGTTTGGTCCCCCCGCGGCCCTCAAAAAGCCGCGTACCAAAGGTCACTCTTACCCAGGATCACTCTTGCGTGTAGCCGAGTTTTGGACGGGCCATCGCCTGTGGCCTCCTCCCTTTCGGCAGGGCTCTCCCCGTTTGCGGGTGCTGGCTGGCCGTTGCCGCCCCCGCCGGCCGCCTTCTTTGCTTGGTCTTGAGGCCAGGCCAGCGGGCCTCACGTCGGCTTTGTCGCTGGGCCTGCCCCGCCCTCTGCCCCGCCCCTCCCCGGTGTCCCCGCTCTCGGGGTGTCCGGGCCGCCCGCTGGTAGGCGCTTCGCAGGTCCCGTGGATCTCGGCGCCTCTGCTCGCATTCGTTCCTCGTTGCTGGGCCCTTCCCCAGCTGCCCCCCGGCCCATCCCCTGAGGTGGTCTTCTCTGGCTGCCCTGTCGCCTGGAGGTCGGTCCGACCTCGGCGCACGGCCGCGCCGCTGCGCTGCCCGCCCCCAGCACAGGCTGGGCCTGCCCCCCCCGGCTGGCGCTGCCGTCCCTGGCTGCCGCGCCCCCCCCGGCTGCCCTGCGGCCGCCGCCCTGCTGCCCCAGCGCTGCCCTTGCCGCCGCCTGGCCCCGCTCTGAGGGGACCCGGCCTCCCCTCCGTCCTGCCCGTGCCGGGCTTCCTTCCTCCTCTTCCTTCTCTTGCAGTGCGGCTTAATTCGCATCTGAATCCCCTACGCATGCACTATCCGCCAGCGCAGTCACTGTGCTTAGCCGCCGACGCAAAAAGTGCGTGTGTATGTGTTTGTGTGCGTGCGTGCGTGCGTGCGTGCGTGCGTGCGTGCGTGCGTGCGTGTGTGTGTGTGTGTGTGTGTGTGTGTGTGTGGGGGCACCGTATCTTTTTTCCCGGAAAGGGCCTGAGCCCAGGGTTCTCTTTTAGTTGGTAAACCTGTCCCCCGGTGCCAACTTGAGGGAGGCCGGCGAATTTTTTCCCTGATAAATAACGAGGTCGAAGGAGGCCGGCGAATTAAAATTTGAGGATGTCTCGAGCGAAACGCTTGTTTTTCAGAATTTCTTGAGGATGTCTCGAGCGAAACGCTGGTTTTGCAGAGTTGAGGATGTCTCGAGCGAAACGCTTGCTCCGCAGAGTTTGCCGAGGATGTCTCGAGCGAAACGCTTGTTTTGCAGAGCCGACCGCGACGCGGAAAAGCGCCCCGCGCGAAGGAATTTCGATGATGTCTCGACTAATTCGTTTGTTTTTGTACGATTTCCTGGAATTTTGGCAGGATGTCTCGAGCGAAATGCACGACCCCACCCTAGCACGACCATACCCCAGCACGACCACACCCCAGCACGACCAGACCCCAGCACGACCCCACCCCAGCACGACCCCACCCCAGCACGACCATACCCCAGCACGACCACACCCCAGCACGACCCGACCCCAGACACGACCACTACCCCTGCACCCCACAGCACGACCACACACGACCAGCACGACCTCACCACAGCACGACCACACCCCAGCACGACCCCACCCCAGCACGACCCCACCCCAGCACGACCACACCCCAGCACGACCACGCCCCAGCACGACCACCACCCCAGCACGACCACCCCAGCACGACCCCACCCCAGCAAGACCACACCCCAGCACGACCACACCCCAGCACGACCCGATCGATAAATCACAGGGTGCGGAGCACCCCAGCACGAACCCACCCCAGCACGACCCCACCCCAGCACGACCCCCAGCACGACCACGCCCCAGCATGACCACACCCCAGCACGACCACACCCCAGCACGACCACTCCCCAGCACGACCCCACCCCAGCACGACCCCACCCTAGCACGACCACACCCCAGCACGACCACACCCCAGCACGACCCCACCCCAGCACGATCACACCCCAGCACGACCCCACCCCAGCAAGACCACACCCCAGCACGACCGCACCCCAGCACGACCTTACCACAGCACGACCACACCCCAGCACGACCACGCCCCAGCACGACCACGCCCCAGCACGACCACGCCCCAGCACGACCACGCCCCATCACGACCACCCCCCCAGCACGACCACCCCCCAGCACGACCACCCCCCAGCACGACCACACCCCAGCACGACCACTCCCCAGCACGACCACACCGCCTTGGTTGAGTGGTTGCCTGTCGTCGTGGAATGTTTCGTGGGGTGTCTCGTGGAATGTTTCGCGGGGTGTCTCGTGAAATGTTTCGTGAGGTGTCTCGTGGAATGTTTCGTGAGGTGTCTCGTGGG